GCGCTCTTGTGACACAATTGCTCAAGGTATTGGATGGTTATATTCTGGAACAGGGTAGTATCGACAATATTTTCTCGTTGCAAGGCTTTCGACAGTGTACTTACGAAATCCAAACTGGAGGTACACGGAATTCAGAAATGTCTAGCGTGGATGAAGACTTTCTACATGACCGCAAACAATGTGGTGATTAATGGCACAAAATCGTCATCTGTTGCCTGTAACAAGTGGGGTGCAGGAGTATTAGTGTATTGGGCCGCTTCATTTGTTTTGTTTCATTTCATAAATGATATGCCTGACGTTGTACCTCCTCCATACAAATGTTTGCCATTGACCAAGTTATTTTCAGAATAAGAACCAAGCGGACTGTGAAGAAGCTGCAGAAGGGACCTCTGTGGGCTCAGGAATGGTCGAAGAATGGCTGCTGGGGTTCAATGTCACGAAGTGTAAGAGGCTGCACCTGGGGCGTACCAGCGGTAAGGGGCGTGCCACCATATGTCCCAGCAGGATGAAGAAAATGTACTAGTTGAGACTGTGTGTGAGAAGGACCTGGTGTGTATGTTGACAGAGCTGAAGTTCTCGGGCCATTGTGAGAGAAAGATAAATCAGGCAAATAAGTGTGGGTCTTATAAAGAAGTCGTTCAGATATCCTGAACGGTCCCGTCCCTCGTGACGATCTTCGGGAGTGAAGTGCTTCCCCATCTGAATTACTGTCACCCCATCCCCGAGATATGCTAGGGACTGTCAGTTGGTTGAAAATGTTCCAAGGGCCACTGGCTGGTGCCTGCGCTGTCTCAGCTGCCCTGCGGGTGGAGCGCCTGAACGCCTGGCTTGCTCTACCCAGACGGGCAGGGGACCTGGTTGAGGTTTACTATAAGCATCTCAGGGGCACTGCGGTTGAGTGTGTCCTTACTTGGAGCTGGCGGACGCTCGCCCCACAAGGGGTCACAGCTCAGGTGGAAGAAAGCCACTGGTCAGGAAAACCGTGAGGGCAAACTTTTTGGAGTGAGGTTGTAAACTCTTGGAACAATCTGCCAGAGAGTGTTGTGACGGTACCGAGTAATGAGCTCTTTCAGAGAAGACTTGACCAAAAAAAAGAATAAAGGTGTATTTAAAGATATAATTTAAAAATGGTATCAATAAAGGTTTATTTAAAGATATAGTTTAAAAATGGTATCAATAAAGGTTTATTTAAAGATATAGTTTAAAAATGGTATCAATAAAGGTTTATTTAAAGATATAGTTTAAAAATGGTATCAATAAAGGTTTATTTAAAGATATAGTTTAAAAATGGTATCAATAAAGGTTTATTTAAAGATATAATTTAAAAATGGTATCACTAAAGGTTTATTTAAAGATATAATTTAAAAATGGTATCAATAAAGGTTTATTTAAAGATATAGTTTAAAAATGTAGTTTTGTGAATGTTTCCCGCCTAATAATGAGTGTGTTTGTCAACACAATTAATGTATACCTTTTAACGTTAACGTCCCTCAGCCATAGTCTTTTGTCTCGTTTTAAAATATATTACAAACTACATGATTTGTTCTTACAATGTTCTTATTAAAAACTGCTTTAGCATTTATTAATTAATTTGGTTACTATTAATTATGTCCCAGGTGTCCAAACTCCAAGCGATAATAAAGTCAGTTGACACTTTATGACTGACCGTTTGTGTGAGTAGCAGCGCTTCTTTTATTAATAAACCATTTAATAGGCGAGGCTATGGAGTGTATTGGTGAAGACCCAACTGTGGCCGCATCATGAGACTCCGTGATAAAGGTAGCCATACCAACAAGGCTTCTTAACACACCTGTCGGGGTGTGTAACACACCTGTCGGGGTGTGTAACACACCTGGCGGGGTGTGTAACACACCTGTCGGGGTGTGTAACACACCTGTCGGGGTGTGTAACACATCTTTAATAAAACACCTCAGTCATCGTCTCTTATGGCACCACAACTTTTACTTCAATAATTTGATTTAAATAAATTATATTTTTTGTAAATATTATATAAAAATAATTGATGTTGATGAGTTAATAAATGTTCCTGTGTAAGTGATAAATATTATTGTGTTAATAAACTAATGCCACGCCATTATTTAAGCCTATGTCAACAATATAGTAATTTGTTAAGGTTAATAAAGTGTAAGATTTATTTATTTATGTTAGGGCGAACCTTACAGTTAACAGTCATACACTGTATAAGGTCTAGTCTTATGACTTGATTACCATCATCGTCAATGATGATAACTTGACCCAACGACCATCACCAGGGGTGAAGGAGACCCAGGACATTACCTCCCAGGGGTCCTGGTGCAGGTCACTGAGGTGGAGTGGGCCGGTCGGGTTAACATCGCCACACACCCACCCCCACCTCCACCCCCACCTCCACCACCACCCACCTCCACCATGGTGCACTGCACAGTCTGTGTGATGTAAGGTGACGTCTGAATTACTACACTATAATAACACTATTATTCACCATTACTTGCCCTCACTA